CTATTGAAAATCAAAGGGACTCGGTACTAAATTAGGTGTTATCTAGTCTTTGTTCGTATTAGCTATTTATTTCATTGATTTAATGCAAATAATTAGTTCTCTATTTAATTAGTTTAATTAGTTAATTAGTTCTTGAAAATTAGTTCTCTATCAGAATTTACAAACATGTCGGCAAATCATAATTTCCAAATTATGTTGGTCAATCATAATTTCAAAAATAAATTGCTGTATCATAATTTCTAAATTATGTTGGTGAATCATGATCTCTTAAATATGTCAGCAAATCATAATTTCCAAATCATGTTGGTGAATCATAATTTCCAAAATAAATTGCTGTATCATAATTTCTAAATTATGTTGGTGAATCATGATCTCTTAAATATATCAGCAAATCATAATTTCCAAATTATGTTGGTGAATCATAATTTCCAAAATAAATTGCTGTATCATAATTTCTAAATTATGTTGGTGAATCATGATCTCTTAAATATATCAGCAAATCATAATTTCCAAAATATGTTATTGATTAATAACTTCCAAAATATGTCGGTGAATCATAATTTCTTAAATATCTTGGCCAATCATAATTTCTTAAATATCTTGGCCAATCATAATTTCCAAAAATATATTGACCGATACACATTTAAGAACAGAAAAAAATTGTGAAGACAAAGATTAACCATCTAGTTGAACATATACGACAACGCGGAAATCTAATCTGCGAAAAATGTGCCAGTTTAGATAGATTCTGTAGCAATAGAGTTACAAAGAAAAAAAAACTTTTTTTTTTTCAAATGATTAAAATGACCTAATATTGTTGGGTAGTAAGAAGGCCACCACACCGCAAGCAATGGATGAAACTCTCTTCCTGGTTCTGATCAAGTTGTTAATGAAAAAAAAAGTCATATTTGTTTTGAATGTTGATGAATTATTTGCGTGTGAATTTTGAAGGTTATTATTTTTGTGTTGATAATACCTAATCGCATGTTAAAACATAGTGATATTGTTTAAAATTTTAGCGAGTTAACGAAAAAAAAACTTTAGACTGCAGAATTTTAAATACAACAACATAAACTGAAATGTAGAAGTTCTAATACGAACCGGGAAGCAAAAAACACAGTAATAACTTCTAAACGTTAATTTTCTAAGAGTTCAACAACATCCCAACTTTTTTAAATTAAAGAAAAAGTGATGAAATCAATAAAAAGTCAAAATTATGCTCTAAAAATGAATTAATTTTTACTAGTATTGGATATTTTCTGCTACAAATGTTGAATCAGCCTAAAAAGAAGAAAATTGCTGATATCTACCTCGCAACGATTGGCAAATTAACTTTATTGTATGCTTTATTGTTTTAATAAATTAAAATAGAAATAATACTTTTTCTTTAATCATAAAATTAAATATCTATTTTTTGTTTATTTTTATTTATTTATTAATTTATATATTTTTGCAAAATATAAAACACATATATTGTAAAATATGTATATTGAAAATATATATTACGAAAAAAAAATACATTTAAGTAAGCACCTCAAACACTGCTTAGAAATATGTAAGAATTAAGTGTTCTTTATTTTTGTGATTAAATTTCTTGAAAACAAATTAAAAATGCCGTAGCTGAACTTGAAAATTGTAGCTACTAAACTATTAAATTTCTTAAAAGCTCACACTAAGAAAAAAATTATGGTTAAAGCTTCAAGAATATCGTAAAATTTACCGTGTTTCTAGCTCTAATAGAAACACCAAAAAGCTCGGTAATTTTTATCGAAGCGCTTTGGTAATGATTTTGGTAAAAATAGCAATAAAGTATGGACTAATATGAGATAAAATTCGGCAATTTTGACATAATACTTTAGAGAATGGCATTAAAAATATTTATTCGATGAAATTTAATTTTCAGTTCTGTGTTTTTTACTAAATGTGTGGTTGTAAGAACTGTAAGTTTAAAAACCAGAATTACCGGTAAACTGTTATCATATGAACGGAAAAATTACCAAATAAATAGTTTAAATACCATATATTTTCGTTTTATTTACCAGAATTATGGTTCTTTACTGGAAATGTCATCACCATGCAGGTAGTTTTACCAGAATTTTTTCTTCCGTGCATAAATCATAGCTCTCAGAAACTGTTTTATTTGTGTTAAAACAAAATCAGTATTACTACCAATAATATGAGGAACAATTGTTTCTTTCTTGGATAACAAGTCAGTTTTAAAATATTCCTCTTTGAAAGCTATAAATATCGGTTTAAACTAATAAGCCTATTTTTCTCATAAATTTGTTTGATTTTGGGTTCGGTTTGATTTGATTTGTTTGATTTTAAATTATTCGGGTTTTTAAAAAAAATGTTATTTATTAAAAATATTTATCTACCAAAAATTTTTTAAATATATATATATAATATAATGACAAATTTTATCTTTAACTCTATTGAAAATATTTTATCAGGGTAGACAGTTATTGAAAACTTTATAGGTATGCAATTTTTAGTTAATATATTTTTTAATTGGACTCAAATTAGGACTCAGAATACTAATTAAAACTTGAATGAAAAGGAACGAAGCTAATGAGCACGTCTTGCGCATTTTTTAAATTGTCAAATTCGTGTAATTCCATTTTTAAAAAAAAATAAGTTCTCGCCAAAAAAACTGCCCTTTTTAGTTACTGAAATTTTATTGACGAGAAATTTTTAGTTAAAATTTTTATTTTGTTTTCAGAAGGGATGTGAATTTTTGAACGAACCAAAGCAAAACCTGAGTGAAAGTAAATAGTGAAAGCATTTTTCGCTTTGTTGTATATTAGAATCACAATCACTGATTGGAAAAATGTTTAAGTAAAACATGTTCTCATGTTAAAAGCAACTATAGTTTAGGAAAAAGTTACCGACCGACGAGTAATTTTTGGTTGAAATTTTCAAATTGATTAATTTTTAGTTAAATGAAACACCAGATTACTTAACGAAAATTAAATTACAACAGTGGGAAATAATGGAAGCGACTTCCGCTTAGTAACAAATTAGAATCAAAATTCCGAACTATAAGATATTTCATTAAGATGAAATATTTTTTTCATTGTACAAGCATTAATTTTTAAATCTGGGAAGATTTATCGACGAATAATTAAGAAAAATTATTCATCGACGAATAATTAAGACAAAATTTTGAAACAGTTTTGTTTTCTGTTAAATAATCAGATTATTTAATAAAATTTAAATGCAAGACGGATTAAATTTTAAAAGCACCTTCTGCTTTGCGCCTTCAAAAATTCATTTTCATGTTGTAATAACAACCAAAATCTCATTCGCAAATAAAAATAATAGCTTTCTGAACATGCTGGCTCAACAATTCATAGTTTTTGAAAAATTTGTCAACGAGCAATATTTTGGCAAAAATTTTTAAAAACTGCTTTAGTTTGAGTTTAAGAAAGAGTCGAAATGCAAAGCAAAACTTGAATAAAAGACGGCTAAAATTATAAAGGTGTCATGTGCTTTGCAATAAAAAACTAAAATCTCATTAATAAATTAACAATAAAATATTTTCTCAGTATGCTTGCTCAATACCTTTTACACTTTGAAAAATTTATCAATAAGCAATTGTTTGGCTAAAGATTTTAAAAACTGCTTTGTTTTGAGTTAAATTATCAAAATGCGAAACAAAACTTGAATAAAAGACGAGTAAAATTTTAAAAGTGTAATCTGCTTTGTTTTAAAGTTTCGAATCTCATTCAAGAATTAAAAAGAAATTATTTTCTGACACTCGCTCAACAATATATAGTTTTCAAAAAAAAATTTTTGGCAAAAATTTAAAAAAACTGCTTTGAGTTGAAGTATCAAAATGGAAGCAAAACTTGAATAATAGATGGATAAAATTATAAAAGCTTCTGTTTCGTAACAATATTTAAAATCTCATTCGCAAATTAAAAGTAAATTATTTTCTCAATATGCTAGCTCAATAATTAATAGTTTTTGAAAAATTTATCAACGAGCAATATTTCAGCTAAAAATTTAAAAAAAAAAAAAACTGCTTTATTTTGAGTTTAAGAAAGAGTCAAAATGCGAAACAAAACTTGAATGAAAGATGGCTGAAATTGTAAGAGCGTCGTCTGCTTTGTAATAAAAAACTAAAATCTCATTAGCGAATTAACAATAAAATATTTTCTAAGTATGATCGCTCAACAATTTATAGTTTTTGAAAAATCTATCCACGAGCGATTTTTTGGCTAAAATTTTTAAAAACTGCCTAAATTTGAGTTAAAGTATCAAAATGCGAAACAAAACTTGAATGAAAGAAGGGAGAGTAGTGAAAGCGTTTTCTGCTTTGTAATAAACTTTAAAATCTCATTCACGAATTAAAAGGAAATAATTTTCTGACGCTTTCTCAACCATATAACCGAGGGTGTGCGGTATTGGTCCTCGTTAAACTGTGCTACCGTAAAGTGCTCGACTTCGCGCGCAGGTCGTTGGGCTACCGAAGCGGGGGTGCCATCCCCTCCGCAGAGGATCAAAATTGCGATGGCATGTCTTCGGATCATCCTCCGGGATGTTTCCCAGACCGTCGCCAATAGCCCATTGTGCAGCTCTAGTGCGACGTAAATTAACAATAACAATAACAATCAACCATATATAGTTTTCGAAAAAATTTTCAATAGCAACTTTTTGGCAAAAATTTTTAAAAACTGCTTTGAGTTTAAATATCAAAATGCGAAGCAAAACTTGAATTAAAGACGGCTTAAATTGTAAGAGGGTCGTCTGCTTTGTAATAAAAAACTAAAATCTCATAAACGAATTAATAATAAAATATTTTCTCTGCATGCTCGCTCAACAATTTATAGTTTTTGAAAAATCTATCCACGAGCGATTTTTTGGCTAAAATTATTAAAAACTGCCTAAATTTGAGTTAAAGTATCAAAATGCGAAACAAAACTTGAATGAAAGAAGGGAGAGTAGTGAAAGCGTCTTCCGCTTTGTTTGGATACTCACTTCCGGTCCTGTTGACATAAATACGTTTTCCTGGTTCACTTTTTTTTCTTTCTTCGAGCGAAACAACATCTTTAATTACAGCTAATCTATTAAATTTCCGATATTTTTCAGCTCTGCAGTGCTTCCTACTCGAATGACCCACAAATCTTGCGTGACGTAATCTTCTCAATTCACTTTCATCTTTGTTTTCTTTTTCTGATGGTCACTCTTTTTGTTTTTCTTGGAATTGTGTGCACGAGATTAACGAAAAACTAACTTCAAACTCGGAAGCTTCTTATGATAGCCTTTTAATTAGAAACTATATCAATGGTTTTGTGTGATAAAGTTCAACGTGTTTGTTGGAAGTAGTTTATCGTGCCCAGATGTGTTTTCTTCCAATTTTGTTATACTGAAAATAACATTTTAACTTTTTACTCAAATGGTTACAGTGATAAGTACCATTAAGGATGAAGGCGCTACAATGGATTTTATAATTTTTTTTCGGTAAGATTATGGAAAAATAAGTTTCATTTGTATAAATTTGTAGTCGTGATTATATATTTATTAGAACCACATTATATTGAAGTGATTGTTTTTCAGATTATTTTAAAGATATATTTTTAATTTTTCAAAATATTTTAAGATTTTGTTTTCTTAATATTTCTAAAATTAACCACAGTGATAAGTACCATTAAGGATGAAGGCGCCACAATGGATTTTATAATTTTTTCTCGGTAAGATTATGGAAAAATAAGTTTCATTCGTATGAATTTGTAGCCGTGATTATATATTTATTAGAACCACATTATATTGAAGTGATTGTTTTTCAGATTATTTTAAAGATATGTTTTTAATTTTTCAAAATATTTTAAGATATTGCTTTCTTAATATTTCTGAAATTAACTTTTGAATATTCTTTTTTAAATTAAATGTTATAAAAATGGTAAAGATATACATTTTGCTGAAAATACTATGCATTTAAAGTTACTAAATCTAAAGGTTTTAACGATTTCTTACTTTGCTGATTTCCGCTGTTGTTATTTTTTTTTCACCCTTGAACTTTTCTTCTTTAGTTACATAAAGTTCTTTTGTGCATTTTAAATGTTTTGTTATTGTTATGAAACTTCCCTAAATGTACCGTGTAATCTTCAGTTTTTAAAGTAACCTTGGCACGCATTGTTTTTATTTGTGATTGCGGGTCTGTCACGTGAATATGTGTGTGTTATTTCATTTGTGTTTCTATTTCGGATTGTGTGTATCGCACGTAAATGTGTGATTGTCATTGAGAATTGTTTGACTCTCTGAAACCTTGAAAATCATCAATTTTCATCACTTTAAATGATCAAGTAGACTTTCAAATGATATCAGAATTGCTGGAAGAACTGCAAAAAGTAGTATATGGGAAAAAATGTGTAAGTTTTATGATAATTTAAAAACAACAAGGTATGCATAGCTGCCAGCTCTTCCGGTTTTCCCGGAAAACTTTATTTTCATATTTAAAGTGGTAACGAAACTACTGTTATTCCATTAAACTTTCTGAATTATAATAATAATTATAAGCGAGTATAAATAATTACAACAAATATATAAAAGCATAATAATCTTCATGATAGAAAATTTCAACTTGGTCAAAATATAAATATATTTTTGAGTAAAATTGTTTTTCGGTAATTGTTTTTCTACCACTTGGAAAATTCAATCTCGGAAAAAGTGGAAGTTAGCAGTAATGTATATACTGCAGGGGATGTTCAGAAAGTATACTTCGTCATGATTTTTAACAAGGAAGCTTTAGTATAAACAAAAACATTCTATACCATAATAAAAGCAAACTTTTAACATGGTTGTCACCGACATTGACTCATTTTCGGTACCATGAGAATATGTAGTACTCCAATAACGGTACTCCATACCCAACAATTTTAGGAGAGTTCTTCAGGAGCCCCCCCCCCCTGATCTAACTTAATCATCGAAGGGGTGAAGACAGAGGGGGATTCTAAACATGCTTTTAATCATCTTTATTTAATTTTCACAAAGAAATTGATGATGGATAATAACTTTAGTATCTTGCGAAACATGTAAAATACAAGATTGTCGTGATATTACAACTCAAGAAATATAGCACGCTACATTTTAGATACTTCACTGATTTTTTTTCACAAAATTATAATAGAACAATTCAGCAAATAATAAATTTTAAAAGGTAGTGTAATAATATGCATTTACCAGTTTTTAGAGTTATATATTGTCTTTGCGTAATTTACGAAAAATGGTTATTTTCTTCTGGTTAATTTAGGGGCTCGAAGTTTCAAGCTCATCACAAGTTAGTGAATACGTTAAACAGAATTTATCGTCATATTATTGTCTATCAAACTTCTGGCTAATTTAGGGGATCGAAGTTTCAAGCTCATCACAAGTTAGTGAATACGTTAAACAGAATTTATCGTTATATTATTGTCTATCAAACTTCTGGTTAATTTAGGGGCTCGAAGTTTCAAGCTCATCACAAGTTAGTGAATACGTTAAACAGAATTTATCGTCATATTATTGTCTCTCAAACTTCTGGCTAATTTAGGGGATCGAAGTTTCAAGCTCATCACGGCATCCAAGTTCGTTTTTACCAATTTAAACCATAATAAAAGTCAATTTTAAGAAACCCAAATTTGGACAAATGTACACCATTAAATTATTTATCCGAAATTACTAATATCATAGCTTTATTTCATTACGTTTTTGAGAAAAAATTCATACAAGTTCTGAAAGTTTATCAATCGCTATTTCTCCTAATCTAATACAACGACGCTTTTATTTTCGAGTTATTTCTAAAGATGTAGTTCGGTCAAACAGTGCCGTATCATCAAAAATTTGTTAAGACCAAAAACGAAGACGAAAATCAAACATTTAACCTTAAATACAAGATGTGAAGGGATATTTTCCCCGTATCCTATGAAAAATTGTATCAATATCAATTTCCTATTTATTGAGGCACTTAAATTATTTTAGAGTGACTTTTAATTCATTTTATTCAATAAGACGAATTTTATGAAACTTGGTTGAAAATTTTAAATTTTAATGAACTTAAGTATTTTTTAATCCTAGTAAAGCTTTACAAAAATATTCTATAGTAGTTATGAGAAAAATTTTAAGCATATTTAAAAAAAACTAAAAAATAAAACTTGGCAACTAAATTCATAAAATTTAAAGAATATAAATTATGAGACAAGATGTTTTTCAAAATATTAACAAATGACTTAATATGGTATTGGTATCCAAATAATTCTCCTTTGGTTAACTTAAAGTAGAATCTGACTACGGGATACTATTAAAAGATTGCTACATCCCTTTATTGTTTCAAAGTGATGTACCACTATTGCTGACTTCACTTTAAGAAAAAGATGGAAGTCTGATGGGGCAAAATCGGGCTTTAGTCCAGGAGAGCCAATCTTTTCCACCCTAGGCTAGGCAACAAATACTTTCGCCCTTTTGCAGCATGGGATGTTGCGTTATTGGTCACGAACAAAATTTCTCAACTATAAAGCTCTGATTTCTTGTATAGAATAACGAACATCAGTTTTGTTACACCGTAGCAGTAGCGTGCTACATTGATAGTTTCTGATGCAAAAAATTCAATCACTATTTACTCGTTCTACTGCTTCGATTTTGCCCCTTTAGGTTTTATATTTTTATAAAATAAATAAAAATATGCAGTAGGCAGTTGAGAGCATTATTAATTGCTATGTACCAATTTTTCCAAATTAAATTCTTGAAATTTTAGGGAATAGCAAATTTATAAATCTTGTAGGTGCTTATGTGAGAAATTATGTTTCCTTATGCCGTTGTATACTTCAATTTCTAAGGAAGTCTTCCTTATGAAAAAAACTGACGAAAGCTTATTCGAAACATACGTCCCTCGTAAATATAGCATAGATTACCATGGCTGTAATGATAGTACTCTAGTTAAGAAAAAAAAATTCTTTTGCAAACAAGTTGATGTCTAAAGAAAAGGCTTTTTATGAAATTACATGACACAAGAAGATAAATTTAGCTTAACATAATTTCAAACCTAAATTATTTATAAATACAGGGTGAAAAAAAGTGTGGAAATGGTTAAATATCTCGATAAATATACATCGGATCGAATAAGTGCCACGTTCAGTGTTTATTTAAAAGCTATCCAATAACACCAAACTCGATCTTTCACCTCCACCCCCTGGAGGCGAGGTGAAGGGCAATTTTGAAATCTTAATGTGAACACCTATTTTTTTATTGCAGATTTGGATTCTTCGGAAAAAGTAACCCTTTTGGTAAAAGTAATGCATTTTGCTGCACAAAGGGTGCTGTAACCGAAAAAAATTAAATAGGGTACAAACTGTTTAAAATGGTGAATCTCGAGGCCCATCACATTAAGAATACAAAAATTGACACGTTTAAAAAAAAATTGATTTCTTTTAATTTTTCGAAAAAAATACCGAAAAGTTCAAGTTTTAACTATTTATTTCATAATTTTTTTTTCCAATCTGATAGATCTTGAGATACCTCCATTTTAAACAGGTTGTACCCTATTTTGATTCTCCCGGTTACAGCGCTATTTCATAAACCTATAACTCAAATAGGGTTATTTTTACTGAACAATCTGAATTTAATCTGCATGATAAAAGAGAGGGGTTCATATTTAAGATCTTAAATTGCCCTCCGCCCAATTCCCAGGTGAATATCAAGTTCAGTATCATAGGATAGCTTTTAAAAAATATTGAATGCGCCTAGTTTCCCTTTTTCGATCTAATGAATATTTCTAGAGACATTTTACCCTTTCCAAACTTTTTTCACACCTTGTATATTTTCTTCCATAGTAAATATTTGTGATAATCACAATTGTATTTTGAGACTTTACTTTTTGAAGAAATGGTTTTAAAAAAGGATATTTTGTCTGAACCTTTTCATTTTTTAAAAAAGAGAAATGAAATATGAAAACATCGGAAATGTAGTTTGTCATTATTTCAAAACAAGCCCTTGAGTTATCAACTTTGGGTAAATATTTAAAATTTATGGTTGTTTAAATTTAAAACCAAATTTTTCTATTGTTACGTATAGTAATATGACATTAATTAGAGCCATTAGATAATTTATTTGCACAGTAGGAATGCACCCCAGTATTGAAAAGAATTATTGAACTCTAGAAAAGTACTTTAAAACTCAATAGTGAAGCACTAATTGAAATGTTTGGAGTTATTGATTAATTTTTATATTCAACTTAAATAATGAAGCTCTAATTGAAATTTTCGGAGTTAATGATTAATTTTTGCACACAACTTACATAATGAAGCACTAACTGAAATTTTTAGAGTTATTGATTAATTTTCACACTCCACTTAAATAATTAAGCACTAACTGAAATGTTTGGAGTTATTGATTAATTTTTATACTCAACTTAAATAACAACATGTGTATTTTTGTGACGCAAAAACATTTTTTCCCTAAGTAATTGATGTGTAAAATATATATGTATTTCATTTTACAGAGAAGCTGTCTGTAACGCCGTTCCACTCCAGTACAGCCCTGTCAATATACCTAACAAAAATGAAAGCTCCTGCTGATATATCAATCAGTCAGTATGTATCTCTATATTTATTATTAAAAATTCATATGCACTGCTAAATCATAACAACATAAAAACGTACATAAAACGACATAAAAACGTACCTTTTCTGATTACTTTTTGCATGGAATCTTTGGATAAACAAATTTTATAACTGTGTACAAAATTTTACACAAAAGTAAAATTAATGTTAAGGGGTCTAAGCTCTGGACCGCTCTCTTGACTTAACTATGAGGACTAGATTTCCCAGATTGTGGCTACCCCCTATATTTTGAGGGTAAGCAATCCAAATTCATCGAATAAAGAAGGTGTGTTTAGTCAGAGAAAGTAAATTTTTTTTGTCTGATTTCGCAACTTAAAGTATCGTCTGCATTAATTAATAAGCATATTTGAGGTCACTGCCGTGAACCATTAAGTTTGAATCCTGATACGTGAAAGTTCGCTCATTTGATCAAAAGTTATTCAATGTGATTTTTTTTTTTTTTTGCTCACTTTGCCTTTATTATGATGCTCAAAAGAATTTTGAACATCGGATGAAAAAGTGTCATAAAATAAATTGCTGTTGTAACTGTTTTATTTTCGTCAAGTCATACAGAAGGATATCGTGAACTAATAAATTCACGTTTTCAGCATTCTTTTCATAATGTCAACAAAGTATAGTGCGCAAAATAAGAAATAAAAAAGCGGATCATCCTGAATAACTTTTGATCTAATTATCAGATATTTACGTTCTAAGACTCATTCTTAATGGTTTGTGGGGGTGATCTCAAATATGCTAATTAATTAGTTCAGACGATATTTTAAGTAACGAAATCAGACACGAAAACGTACTTTCGCTGAATAAACATATTTTTTCCCCGACGTATTCGGTTTTCTGACATTCAATATGTAGGGGGTTGCCCACGTCTGGGAAATGTGGTCCAAATAGTTTGGTCAGGAAAGCTGTCAAAAGCTTGGGCTCCTTAATGTTAATCTTGCTTTTTGCACATTTCGCCATATCTCGAAATTTTTTAAGGTGAATTAAAAAATTTTGAACACAATTATAAAATTCGTTTATCCGAAGACAACTTCCTGCAAAAAATAACTTTTAGTAAATATTTCTCACTTTCCATTGTTTTATTTGATATTAGGCGAAGGAATTTTGAATTGTAAGGTATGCAAGTTTTACATTTAGTTTAAAAAACATAATTTTAAAATGCAAAATACAAAATTTGAGTGAAATCGGCTGAATAGTTCCTGAGAAATCGAATTTTTAAAATATGACTGTTTTTGAAATTCGACGTTTTAGTGTCTGTTTTCATAACTTTATCTATCGTCTGCATAGAATGTTTGAGGTTATCCCTTCGAATCATTAAGATTGAATCCTAGACCGTGAAAATCCGATCATTCGATCAAAAGTTATTTAGGGTGGACCGCTTTTTATTTTGTGTACTGTACATTATGACTTTTACTTTATCAACGATGCTCAACACCTTTTATATAACTTTCCTTTCCCTATCTCGTACTGTTTTCAAGAAAAAAAAGCTAATTTTTAAACTTTTCACCGAATAGATAACACCGTAATTAATCTCATCTTTCAGCACATAGCGACTTTACTATAACTAGATACCTATCTTATTGTTATAGCTGCAGCTAAGTTAAGAGGGTTGTATCCTGTATAATTGATAAAAAATATAATAGGTATTAAAAAAATTAATATAATTTATGTCTAACATGATTGGGTTTTAAAAAAATTAAAATTTTATGCTGATTATGTAATTAATGTGTTTTATAGTTAAAAACATTTATGTCAAACATTTATGTCATTATACATTATTTAATAGTTACATTGCCAATTAAAAGCTTCAATATTTGATTTAAAAACTATGTATGAAATGTTGCTTTTTTTTAATACTTAAGAAAACATTCCGTCTCATAAAAATATTTTTTTAATCGAATTTCAAATAAGCTCCTTAATTTTTGCATTCAATTTCCTGTCCCTTAGTTTTGGAAAACGATTTTCATTTAATGAATAAAATTCTAAGAGCAAATAATTCAAATAGATTTATAGTGCCCGGCAACCATACAAAATATATTCAGTTTCAAATCTCTGATCAGACTTTAGAAGTTGGTTTCACATTCTTTTGAATTGAACATATACCATTGAAATCAATAGAACTTGAATTATTTCTCAAGTGTAAGTTGGATTTGGGTAAGACTCCTTATAGCGTCGAAATAACAGTTTTCTTATTAATGGAGGGATGATGTAGGAGACAACATGTAAGAAAATAATTTTTACTCTTTATTTATTCATTTTTATTTATTTTTTAATAATAATCGAAAAACTTTTGAGTTATAAAATAAGTACATTTTTACAACATTAATACTACGTAGTTTTAAATAGCAAAATACAAAATTTGAAAATGTGTGAGAATAGTTCTTGAGGTAGGAAAATGTAAAAATATTTTTTTTTTTTTATTGTAGTTTAATTTCAGATTAAGATAAGAAATTATTCGGCTAATTTTATTAAAATTTCATAATTTGTCATTTAAAATTACACAGCTTAAAATGAGGTAAAAAAAAAAATAGTTTTCAGTTTCAAAATTTTTCCAACTATTACTAAATTAAAAAATTAGAACTATAAGCAATTTTTTTAAAAAAAAATATTACGAATAAAATTAGCTTCGAATAAAAAGAGTTTTCTAACAGTAATAGACAAAAACTGTTTCAATCACTTAAATTGATTCAAATTTATAGCAAAATTCACAGAAAGGGAACGCATTAAGAGGATGTTACACTACGGGAGAAACTTTTCGCAGCAATTTAAAATTTAAAGTATAGAAAAAGTGAAGTAAGGAAAACCTAGCGTAAGCCATGAAGTTTCAGTCACTGACAAAAAAATCAAAATATAAAAATGCAAACAAATTATTGGAAAAGAACTTTCCAATTGCTTGATTCTAAGTTATCATCTCATAATTAACTTTCACTTTGATATTTTGATTTTTTTTCAGATATTAAAATTTCATGGCTTTTACTAGGTTTGCTTGTACTCATTTTTTTATATTTTGAATTAGTAATGGTGGTGAAACAGAATTTGATGCAAAAAGTTTCTCTCCCGGTATAGCGTCCTCTTTATGGATCAAAATTTTGACTGCTCTCCTGATGAAATGATTAGGACCACATTTTTCAAAATAGGGCTATCTCCTATATCTGCGAATAGGGTATAGTGAATCCAAATCCATAGAGGAAAAAAAAAAGAGTACATCTAGTCGTAGAAAGTACGTTTTTTTAAAAAAAAATATTGTGTGCGCAAATAAATTATCATATTTCAGGTTATCTCTTCAAACCATTAATATTACATGTTAGTATGTGATAATCCGATCATCAGTTCAAAGGTTATTAAGATATTTGCATGTTTAAGAAAAATGTTCCGAATTAAAAAAACACATTTTTTGCTTCGTCCATTTTCTTAAACACGCATTTTGAGCTGTGCCCATTTCCTTGTACACGTATTTTGAGGTGTGTAAGTTTTCTAAACAGGCATTTAAAGCTATGTCCATTTTCTTAACCAGGCATTTAGAGCTGTACTCAGATTAAGAAGCTTACCGACGATATGAAGTTACGGTATTAATAGTAAAGCCCTCCTGTTCAGTAAAGTAAAGCAAAGCAACAGTCCACTGTGTGATAGAAGGGGGTCAGGAAGATTTAGGCACCCCAATTTTGAGACCAACGACATGATTATTGAAACGTGATCAGTTTTTGCGTGTCGGCCGCTTTTACTTTCTATTCAAGCTTATATCCATCGGTCTGAAACTGGGACCGAGTTCAAGCTGAGACCGATGAAATAACCTTTTTTATTTTACGGTTTAAAATTATTCTTGAAGAGTAAATTCCCCTTATCTGTCTTGAGGGATTATTTTCTGTTTTAACCAACTCGACAAAGCTGTTCTTACATTAACTATATTTTTCATAATGATTTTTTTATCCGTTAAAGAGCAATTTTTTTTTAGAAATTGCCATTAATGAGGACGGGTAGTGACATAAGTCAAAGTTAGTTTATAATTTTTTTTTTCGGTATTTTTTTACCAATTTAAAAATACAAATAGAAATTGCCAAAATTAAAATTAAATACGAAAACCCAAATTCCTCTAAAAGAAAAAACTGTATAAAAATTCGAAACACATAACCTATTTATTGCATGAATTTTTATTTCATTTATTAAATTTTTTTTTGGTACCATGGTAAAATTGGTAAAATTTGGTGCAAATTTTAATTTTTCACAAAAAAATGCGTTTATTATCCCCGGAATATATTTTTTTTGTTTCTTTTAGAAAAATACCTTTACTTGTTTTTATAATCAGGCACTTTATTCTTATGAACATAAATCCAATTTAACAAAATTTCAGTTGCAAAAACTAGCCTATGATAATGTTTTTAAGCTTAATATAAATTTTATATATGCAGGTTCATTTGTAGTATAGCATATTCCTATTTAGGTTAATTAATTTACTATTATAATATTATAAAATAAGAGTAGACAAAAAATGTAAATTGAGGAAATAAAAATCAAACTAAGTAAAGAGAAACTAAATAAGAATTATAGCACATAATATAATAATTATAAACATATTCAACGTTCCTTACATTTTTACAGTTCGCTGCACTGTTTCTAAGAACAGGCAGACTATAGAGATAGACGATGTATCAATTTCTAATTAGAAAGCTTTTAGGATGTTTTTGTGGAGCTCTGTTTCCCAAGCAAAATAAAAACAAATAATCACATTTTGAATAAAACTCAAAACAGAGATTCGATTTTAAATTATAAATTCTCTTTTGCTGAAAAGAATTGAGTGGTCTTTATAATGGATAAATATTTCAAATATTTAAAAATATATCGAACTCTTATTAAAAAAAATGGCATATGGGCACAAATAATGCTTAACTGTAACTTTTCTTCATAATGACATTTTGCACCATTTTCATGATTAGTGAACAAGAAAAGGACAGAACATAAACTAACAGTTAAGGATATTG